TTCCTGCTGCTCTCAGTAGCTGTAAAAATTCCAGGCTGATCCCTCTGCCCCCTGATATACCTTGAAGCACTCAGTCTTGGGAACTTTCCAGGTGTGAACCCTGTAAATGTGAAGTTAATAGTACATGTATCCAGGAAAACCCTGAGACTTATAGGACCCTTAAGAGTCTGTTAGGTTGCTAGGGACAGAAGGAATTCTGCCCAGTCTCCCACAATGGTCCTGGTCATTTTAAAGATTCCTTTCTACAGATAATCAAAAATAAAAGAATAGATCTATATATGTGATCCTGATAATAGTGCTTCTGTTTATATCTTATGATAAAGAGTGATCTCTTACATAAGGTTGCATCAGATACAATTCTGATTATTTTCAACATTGAATCCCATTTTAAGATATTTATCTGTAAACAGGATATATAGTTAAGATTCTTTTTCATATGTAATTACAGAATTATAATTTTGTAGCATTAAACATGGCATGCTAAAATGCTCTCGATACTCATTTCCCATAAGCTTTTAAATTTAAGTCTCATAACTTTAACACTAAGTATTTCTCTTGAACGTGAGAACGGTGCATTTAGTATTTCTAAAAGTACTGAAGAATATCACGTCTTCAATTCATGAGTAGTCATCTTTTGTTCTCCCAGAAAGAAGGTGCATGAACTTAAAGGCAGGGTTAACCCGGTAGCACACGTGCAAAGCCACTCAGCAGGGGACGGTGAGGAAGTGGCCTGAGCAGACCGTCGCCACATGGGAACTCGGTGTCAGTGCTGCCTTATCTTATGGTTTTTCAAGAGAAGCCAGAAATCCAATCTTAATATGCACGCTCTCAATATCTAAATGTTGGCAACAAATTCAGAAAACTCCATAAGCGTGTGCAGGCCAAATGGAACGCATCTGTTAGCTGTATTCAGTTTGAGGCCTCCAATTTCACACCTCTTTCCTCACTGGCTTTACTCCATACTGATGAGTGATACGTTGGAGAGGGCACTCACTTTTTGTAATTATTCTCCTAACACTTAAACACGTTAGAGCACTGAAAATATACAAAAGAATTTATTTCCTATATTGTGGTAACAAAAATGATATTCACGTTACTTACCCTGCTGACTTCCTTAGGAGATGATTCATCTGGGGGATGGAGAAGGAAGGGAGAAAAAATACAATTAGAAAGTCTGAGTGGTTTCTGAAATACAGAACACATCATTCACGCTCAATAAACTAGAAGGCTATTTGCAATGCCTCCACTTGTGAAATCTAGGAATTTGGTTTTAAAACTCTATAAAAGTTAAACAGTAAGTTTAGAGCTAGATGTATGTATTAATTTTGAAGGGAAATGAAATAACACAACAGTCTGCCAGTCATTTTCAAGATTACCTTTTTAGAGATTCTAAAATGGTAGTACCTGCAAATATGGCTACACTGTGGTTTACCAAATACAGAAAAGGGTTTGTAATATTTGCAATATTCTAAATGACACAACCCACATGAATATCTCAAATGGTCATTGATACTTGTGCTGTGAGGGTTATTTCCAGCATTTCTAATTTGCTGAAATAAGACATGTGCCTGCATGGCACCCTGGTTAAGGCATGAAACACACCTATTAATAGTGCTGCTTTGTACCATGGATCCCAGGAGTTGGCTGGGGGGGGGGGGG